TCACACACAGCTCATTTTAAACACTGGTTCAAAAACGCTAATTTCCAAGCTGTGAATTATATTGGCGCACTCAGTGTCATCATGGCTACGTCATCACTTCTCACTTTCTGCTTCAGGGGGAAAAGCTCTATGAGCTAGCCCTTCTCTTCAAAGTCCTGCTGACCTGCCACCTTGTTTTAAAAATATATCTCATCCCTAGGACGCGGTGCAGAAGTTTGTACCTTTAGTTAACTTATATATATTAAATATTGCAAAATATTGTTAGTGCCCAAGGGCTTATAAATGGCTAGTTTATATTTTATGAAGTAGATACCAGAATCAGAATACAAGATTCCAGATTCTAGTCTCTTGTGTCGGTTTGGGATTGGCATATAAATGATATTCTCTATGAATTATCTACCTCTAATTAAAAACATATTATTGTAATATATCAAAGAAAACTTTATTAAATATGATTAGTCATAACAAATCTTACCGCATTCTACAAACCCATAACCCACTCTGTAGATGCCAGATACATTTTTTAACTCATTCTTTTACATGTTAAGAACATATCAATGTTGCCAAGATATTAAAACTTAAAATTATACTTGGCTCATTCTTCTCATTTCATTTTTTTTAGGCACCCCATCTTTTGAGTTATATTTGCAGTTGTTTGAAAGAGTACCAATCAAATGGAATTTTTTTTATGAGTTTTCCCATATGCATTTACCCTTGTGCACCAGTTGTCCTTGCGTTACTTTATGGAATATATCTTTGCACAAATTCATGACTTCATTTGTTGGCGGCATATTTACTTTGTCGAAAGTTCTGCTACTGTAGACACAAAAGCTGTATGTAATATCCAAGCCCCAGCTGAGTTTGGAAATTTTTATGCTATATCTGTGTGTCTTCTTCATGTTGTACTGTCAGAATATAATTCGTCCGCAAAATGGGATCATTGATTCATCAGTACAAATCAATTCCATTGGCTGATAATACTTTTTGAAATTTTAGTTCAACTCGTTGATAATTGTATGGATTTTCCACAAATGGTGGTTTTATTGCTTGTAAAATGAAGCATCCTCAAAAGAATCTGAAATCGGTTTGTGCTCATTACTTTGTGTGGGAATGAATGGGTCCCTGTCTAACGACCATCCAAAGGTTAACTGTAGTTTAGGACAGAGTCATTTCCGTTGAGTTGGATTCCACAACCACACCTTGTCTCCTTCATTGAATCTATGTCCCGTAGCTCTTGTATCATGTCTTCATCTTCTTTGCCGTCTTCTAAGGTGACTCTAGCTCGTGCAAAATTGTGCATCACTTCAAACTGGGCCTGGAAACCTTGGATGTATTTCCTCAGGCAAGAAGGTGGATTTGGAGGGTGACCAAACGAGAAATCAAGAGCAGACGAAGGTCATGACCGAAGAGCCTCTGTAATGGATAATAGCCGGTAGTCTTGCATATCTCTTTGATCCTAGTATTCCCTATTTCATATACCGTATGTTGGCAGCTTTCTGAGCAGGCCCTTTCAGACAAGGTGTCTGCGTTTCCAGATGAGGATCCCCTTCTGATGATGGATAGTTGTGTCCTCTGATGCTGAAAGCAGTTTATTGTTTTTGAAGTCCAGGAAAAAATTGTATTTTCTCAAAAAGTCCAATCCGAGTATGCAAGGGTCTGTAATCTATGCCACATAGGCCATCTGATGGTATTATTAGTGGCCGTATTTATTAATAAAAACTGGTATATGCATATAGGATTGTGATTGAAACCAACATGACTATATGCAATAAACCAGATGTAGTACTTTACTTGGAACTCTGCCACTTAACAGGTGTTCATTGAAAAATATTGAATCTCTGTCACCAGAGTTTAATCTAAAGTAATGCAACACATATTAAGGCTATGTAGACATGTTTGTTTATATTGGGAATGATTTTTTTTATAACAGCATTTCATTTGCAGAACTTAAAACAGTTTTGTAATGCAGGTACATTACAAGAAAGGGCACTTGTTATTTTCTCTGTTAATGATGAAGAAGTGCAAGAGCAAATAGCAAATTCGAAAGTGTATGTTGCTACTTCTTACTGGCCCTGGAAGTTGCGGTGTTTGTTTCAAAGCATTTATTTTAAATATTTATTATAAACACTTAATTTTCTTAATTAAAAAAATTAAAATTATTACATAACTGCTGATTAAAATACAATTTCTGATGAAAACAATAAATAAATAAATAAATAAATAAAGTTGTAAGTGTCGCATTACATTAGTATAAATTTAATTAGTATAAATTTGGTATTAAATTAGTATAAATTTAGAAAGACATCTTAACACAGGGTCAGTTATGCCTAATAAAGTATGATACAAAATTTCTTATTACCGAATCTTTCTGTTTCGAGAAACATCAAAGTAGATTGTGTTTGCAAACAATCAGCTTATATCTTGTTGCAATTTTAAATATGAAATTTGTGGGAAGTTATGTTCCTGGCCACATCAGATTTTTTTTCAAATTATTTAGCATAAAATTGCTTATAAAATAATTATTAAATCACTTTTTCCAGGAATGTTTAACTACTGTAATTTACAGAAGAAATGCTGTGGCGTTTATGTGTTTAATACTTAAAATTTTCAGCGGGTGCGGCGTTTCTACCCATGCAACGTTTAGGTGCACTAAAAATATTTCCTGTGATGGTCATTGTACATAGTTTGGATGGCCTTGTCATTGTATATAGACTGGTGCTGTTCCCACACAAAAGACCACTCAGTTGCTTTTTGCGAACATTATTTTGTTTTATATTCTTTCCCTTGAATGGACCTACATGCCTTATTCACTCTAAACAGGATCTCAGAACAATAACATTCTTCCCCCTTTCAAATCAACATTCTTATCAGTTTGAATAGTCTCTCTCCTGTGTCATTCGATGAATCTTCCAGGACCCATCCTCTCCCCGCCCCTGCCTTTTCTGCAATTTTTTTTCAAAGGCGGACACGACTCCACCTGCCTCATAATAACGAACTCTGATGTATTTACCCTTCAGCATGAATCGAGTTTTCTTGGCATTTTGCAAGATACAGATACCATCAGTTTGGGTACAAGTACTTGTTGCATAGTTTTTAACTAAAAAAGAGCGGAAATTTTTTGAAAAGATTACCTAAACGGCACAGAAGCTATACTGCTGGTTTTAAGCTTCATGTAATTTCACGTGCTGAACAAATTGGAAATATAGCAGCAGCTCAAGAGTTTGAAGTGGACAAGAGATGTATTTGACATTGGAGAACCGAAAAAAACTTCTTAAAAATGTGCCACAACAGAAACGAGCCAAAAGAAGTGGTACTGTAAGGTGGCCGAATCTAGAGGACTACCTTGCAAACTGGATAAAGGAGCAAGAAGGAAAGGGAATGGCAATTTCAAATGTAAAAATTCGCTTACGAGGAAAATTTTTAGCAAAACAAATGAACATAAATGATTTCAAAGGAGGACCTTGCTGGTGTAGAAGATTTATGAAAAGAAAAAATATTTCTGTGTGTACTAGAACAACAGTCGGGCAACAATTACCAATGGACTGGCAGGATAAAAAGGCATCTTTTCTAAAATATGTTACAGATATTATTGACAAAAATTACTTCTTCGGTTACAGGTAATGTGCAAACGAGAACGGCTGGATATGCGAAACAATCATGCATGAGTGGCTACATAAAGTTTGGCAGTGTTGTAAGGGATCTTTTTTCCAACCAAAAGGGTTATTGATAATGGATTCCATTCGTGCTCATTTACTTGAGTCAGTGAAAACCAGATGTCAAAAATTGTCTACGACCGTAGCAATAATTCCTGGTATTTTGACAAAAATCTTACAACCATTAGATTTGTCTGGTAATAAATCCTTCAAAGCTGAAGTCCAAAAGTGGTGGGAGTGTTGGATGAGTGAAGGATTGCATACGCATACCAAAAGCGGTAAAATGTGTAGAGCATCTTATGAAGAAGTTGCAAAGTGGGTAGGAAGTGCGTGGAAATCAGTAAAAACACCGTCAATAATAGTAGGGTTCAAAGAAGCTGAAATTATATCCTTAGATAAAGAGACTGTAAACCAAGAGGATGAATGTGACGTGTAAACCAAGAGGATGAATGTGACGATCTGGAAGACTTGGACTTAGATCAGGATTTACTACATCTTTTTAATTCAGATAGTGAAGAATCAGATTTTGATGGCTTCATATAATGTCTAGTTTGCTGTAATTCCTTTTGAAAGTAAAATTTAAAATTTCCTTTTGTCATCCAAATTTAATGTCTATGTTGCAACATATTTTGTAATTGTTGCAACAAATATGGACTTCTTTAGTGGGACAAATATGGACTTCTCATAAATATAAGTATATACGTGAGCGTAAATATATTTTCAACATTTCTTACCTTTAATTTATTTTTGAGTTATGGTTTCATTTCATGCATTTTTTCTTAACTGATATGTCATATATTAGGACTTAGGTCGAGATTTTGCATCTATACGGCCCATGATGATAACATACACAATTTAATCTGTTGCAGCGTTTCTGTGTAATTTTAATTTTTCTCCACCATTTTTCTCGAGTGCGGTGTTTCCGCTGATGCGGCCTTTCTTCTAGAAATTGTGGTATATCTTTTCATTAGAAGAGAGTAAAATCAATAATATCGTAATGAACTTTTTATTATGAGATTCTCCTTTCAGTTGACTTTTTAGTTCAAAAATTTAATGCACCCTGTTTTTTCAATAAGGCTTTTATGATTAAACATTCTCCTTCAGTACAGTCAACACTTGCATCATAATGGCAAGATCATGAATGGTACTTCCAAATATTTTTTTTTTCTTTTATGCAGGTTTTCTTTTATTCAGAATTTTTGGGAAAGAATGTACTTGTTATGCATTTCTTATGCAATAAAAATGTCTTTGGTTTGCTAGATCTGTAGAAAATTGTTTAAGATTTGGGGGGGATAGATGAACTGTGGTGTACAATAATTAATTAAAAAAACATGCATCTAATTTCAGAGTGAACTACCGCATGTTTATATGGTAACTGATATTATGCCATATCACCATGCATTTGTGAAAGGTGCAAATTCAAGTAACATTCAAGATATAATGAAAAGAACTGGAGCAAAAATTGTGTTTCCACCATTGAATGCTTCTGGATTGGAAAAAAGTTCAGTGAAAATACATGGAAGTTTAGACTGTGTGTATATGGCATGGCAAGAAATTATGGTATGTAAGCCAAAATGAGCTAAATTATTTTATCTTTAATGTATGAAAATCTAAGATAAATGAAAAATATAGTGAATTATTTTGTAAAAAATTGATATTTCATTTTATGGTATATATTCAAAATTAAATGCATTAAATGCTTTTTATTATAGTTTTGGCTATTTTGTTACTTAATTAGCTAAAGATATTGTATATTAATGTGAAATTTTTGATAATTTTTTTGTGGTTTTTTATTCAGTTGAATGCATTTCCATTGTTATGATTATAAAACCCTGCTTAATTCAGAAATGAAAGAGAAATACAATATTTATGTAATAAATCTAAAAACTAGTCATCATGTAATTTTTTCAAACTCAATTCCTTTTTCTGCTATTTCTTCTCCCCCCCTCCCGAAAATTTTTCTGTAGTGAAAGCAAAAGATTTCATTTCATTATATTGAATAAAATAAGTAAATTATGCATTCATTATCTGACTGAAAATGCCATTTTTATGACTTGATATAATGCTAATTAAAACAAGCATTTGTTCTAAAGGATAAGCTATCAAAATAGAGCATCACAGGTTTCGATAAAAAAATGGAATTTTAACCATTGCATGAAGAAATTTATAGTTATCAAACAGAAGTAGTGGAAATATTACAGATGAAACTTGTGAAGCTGAAAACTTGTGAAAATTATAAAATTATTTTAATTATCATAACTATTTCATATTTTTTGTAGGTTGCATTTTGTGGTAAACAACTTGTGTTTATAGCAAAATATGTTGATTTTTTGGCAGTTGTTTTCAGTTTTATATCTGGGATATTATTCCAGCAGTTGAAGAGTGAAGTGATTAAATGTAAATGTAAATGAAAATTTTTACATTCCTACACTGTAATTACTGGCTGAGACAGAGCCGGGAATTCTCATAACGATATTCATTTCCAAGGTTCAGGGTGTTCAACTAACCATAAAGTTCAAGTAACTGGAATATTTTAGAATAACTTTTCATCCCTTTGAAAAATTTAGTGAATGAGAGATTTGTAATACTTTTATAGAGCCTGTAATGCTATTCACATGTATTCATTGTCGATAAACAGCTAATAATGGAGTTTAGTGCTAATAATGGATAAGCATGGCATCACAGTTGAATCATACAAGGTTCGTTTCATCTGTACTCTAAATTTTTGTAAGGAAGGATATAAGTGCTATTTTCCCATGTTGTTCTGAAAAAGTTACAAATGTTCAGCACAGGTGGGCAGGTGATGAGGACAGGGGCATCTGGCATCTGCCAGAGGTAAGCAGGTGTATGCCTCTCATCCTTCACTATCCAGAATTTATTGAAGAATTAAAGAATTCAAGTAATTTACATGGCTATACATGGGTTAGATGGCAATATAATTGTTGTTAATTTGGAAACAGAAGATGCAATGAACATGTTTCAATAAATATGACTTAAAATACGTATAAAGAATATATGAAACAGAAAACATAATTATGAAAACATTGCACATAAGATATTTAAACAATATTAAGCAATTGTGTACAGAAGACCAAAGTTTGCTCATAATTAAGTACAGTTTCTGCATTAAACTTGTTACTCATCAATTGTGCTTCCATTGAGTATCACATGCATATTTGGCACAAATGAGATGATATCATATGAGACATATCATCTCATTTGTGCCGAATACATAGACATGCAAGTTTTATGCAGTTGAAATCCATGCTTAGTGAGCCTGGACCCTGTCAAAAGGCCGGTAGTGAATCCAGGACCTCGCAGATTTTGATGATTGCTGCCTGATTTCTAACCAGGATATGTTTGTATGCCACTATATTGTTTGAGTAGATGCAAAGAAATGCTAATAGGACAGCTGTACATGTAATGATCAAGGTTGCCCTCTTGGCTGTAAACTCAGACATAAGTGTTAGTGATGCCATGCCTTTTGAAATAAGTTGGAAAAAGGTCATGGCTGGTGATGAAACTTGTGAACTATGGTATGAAGATGTGGCAATCAGTAAAGATGTTTGGAATTAAGGAATGCATGCAACATCCATTTTTGCTGCCAGAGGATTATTGCCTCATGGTAGAGAATACATATAAATTGAGATGAAGGTGCTGAGATTTGGCATTGCCTTGCATAAGTGTCATATGCTGCCTCTTTGGCTAGATGGTCAGCTGTTTCTATTGCCTTCATCATGTGCTTTTAGTTGGATGCTGGTATGTGTTAAAGTTTAATTTCCCTTGAATGGCCATTGTGAGAGAAAAAGTGGATTGGGATGGCCAGAAGAAATGTCAGAGTAGATAACTGTATATGGATTATGTTCTATTGTAGTTTGCTCAATAGCCTTTATGATGGCGAATGCCTCCACTTTGAAGATGAGGAATAGTATTAGTCTGAGGATGATGAATTGTATTAGTACTGAATATAATAGTCTTTACTTTTAGGTGCTGAAAACAGTCCCTTTTCTCTTGAAATGCCTGTATCAGTTAGATAAACATGTTTTTTTTTTTTTTTTAAATTGCACTTCATTTATTTAATGCTGCATCCTGTGAGATAGAAGGCAACTTAAATGTTTTATTTGCTATTTAAAGTTTTTGAGTAAAAATAAGTAAAAATGTGATTTTGTATGTATTTTTAACCATATTCATATATTTATATCATTATTTCTGCTCTTTCTCTTTTCCCTTTTTTTTTTTTTTTTTTTTTTTAAGGTGTGCTTTTGTGTGTGTGTGTGCATGCATGTGTTTGTGTAATTTTGTTAACTGTTCCTCCTAGAATAGTATTTGAAGCATCACTGATAATTAGAAAAACCTACTTTCATATGAAAAACAAGCTGCCAGCTCATTTGATTCGTAACTGTATACCCAACCCAATTAATATGTCTGCTGATTTTTTTATGACTTTTATATAGCATAATATTTCTCACAAATTTTAAGTAACTTGGCTAATTCAGTATTTGTACCCAGAAGCATTATTTCTGGTATTATTTTAGATTGCCTCTTAAAGGAAAACAAGACCATTTATATCACATGAATTAGAAAATCAGAAAAAGGATAAAGTTTTGAAAATGTTGCTTTAGTTGCAACTGAATAAACTGGAGTCATGGTTTTGCAATATACAGTTAAAAACCTAAAACTGGAGTAACAGTTTTTCAATATACAGTTAAAAATTTTTGGTAAAATTTAATCAAAACAGCAAATCTAAAAGAATAAAAATATTTTTCAATCTGCAAGTGTTTTGTACCTTTTACACTTAAGAATTAGTGACCACACTTCAGATATTGATTAGGCACCATTCAAATTTAGCTCATCATCTAAAAATTACTTGTGCTAAGTTCTGATTTCTTGAGTAGTTGGTTGGCATCTATAGAAAACTATTTAAAAAAAATGCTATTAAAAATGCTAATAATCTGTTAGCTAGGAAAGGATGTGCACTCAGATATACAATATATTATTATATTGTATGAATGTATATTAAGAATGCATATTGTATTATCTTTCCAGAATTTTTTGCCATTGTGTGTAGCTTTTGATATTGTTGAGACGAGAGATGCAAATGGAGGTGCGTATTCCAAGTTTTATGTTAAAGTATTAATATTGTAATAATAAGCCAGTAAAAGAGGAGTTCAACTTCTTATTAGATTTTCATGTTAAAGGGGTACTATACAGCAATCAAAATCATTCTTCTTAATTTTATTTCATTCTGTTCTTAATTTTATGTCATTTTACTGAACAGATTCACATTTTTTAATGATGTGCTAATTTAGTTCTGTGGATTTTTTTTATTACAATTCATTTTAAAGTAGGTAATACTTTCATGTGAAGTCTCTTTCTTCACATATTTAAAAAAAAATGCCGAAATTTTTTTTATTTATAAGAATATTTTGTAGTTTGATTCTAGTAAGATATCCGTCAGAGCAAAGGTGTTCATTCAGCCTGCGACCCTAAGCTAGTATCAGTATGGTCCAAGAAGTAAACGTGAAGCGCAGAAGGATTGTTGAGAATTATATTTGTGATCGAGTTTTAAAACTGGCCTTAAGTATGGATGGATGGGTTATTTGATGCTTTTAATTGAAGTGAAATGAAATAAATTTTGAGTGGTGTGACTTGTGCACGAAGTTGTAGAGACATTAGGTTATTTTAAAGCAGGAGACATGAAAAATGAGCAATACCATCACTGGGACTCAAACCTCAGACCTTTTCAACACGTGCCGAGTGTGCTGGCCATTACACCACGAAGGCATGCTAAGAAGGCGGGAGAAATACCCTTATAAAGTGATTGATTACCTTCGTTTAGATATATAATGTTTGTGTGTATCTTTGTGGCTGCTCTAAAAAAAATAATTCTATATTGCTGTCATTATATTAAAAAATCATAAATTAATAAGTTTAAACTACTTAAATATGTTTCTATGCCTTTTTTCTCATCAGCCCTCATTAGTGTTCAGCAGTGGCAGCTTACCATATGAATCAAGTGAATCACTGAATCAGTTAAAAATTTTCTATATATGTACTTTTATATCTAGTAATACATTGAGAAAATTTGAACTAAAGCAGTTACGCCTGCACATTTCTCTCAGAGGTGAAATGCAAAATTTCTTTCAGTGGTCAAACTTGAGCAAGCCCAAAACTTTTGAGTGAAACCGATGCAGTAGGTGTGATTTATTTTGAAAGTCACAACCTGTCGCTGGCGTATGACCCAAAATGTCTAGTCGTCTTTCAAAGTGGTCCAGAAAAGCTAAAATGTTGGACAGCTTCGATTTAGAGCTTTGATTTCAGTATGTAAGACCAAATTGTAAATATACAAAAATAAATCTGCTTTTAATTGAAGAATTGATTTAAAAGATTTTAAATGTTTTGTGTTTTCTTTCTTCTGTTTTAGCATTATCGCTATCATTTTGAGTGATTGAAGAAATGTAGCTTTAAACTACAACTTTTTTTTTTTTTTTTAATTAGACACATTATTTAATGTGTAAACTGAAATGGAAAAAATTAGTTTTTATAACAAAAATAATTTTAATTGCCTTTTTGCATTTTATTTTGTTTTTGTTTAATGGAAGGGGGTAAAGGTAATTTATTAAGCCTTTCTTGTATGAATATTTCATAGTTTCAAAGTAGATTTTTCAGTGAATGTGATTTCTCAGAAAAATTATAACACTTATCCAGGGTATCTTTACATCTTGAATTACTCAAATTCAGTTTCTAACCCTAAAATATTACTTAAAGCTCTCGTTACCACTACTAGTTTTAAGTACTTTTTGAAAAGAGACAAACACTCAACTTTATTTTACATTACCACTTGTGAAGTTAAAATAAAAATATTACAAAAGAAAGCTACCAATCACTTTTATTTTGCAGTGAAATAAAATAGACCTTAGACAGTCTTTGAAATTTACAAAACTATATATAATGCATAAGCAAGGCTACAATCATGTATGAACAAAAGCTAGCCCACTTCTTAACTGAACAAAAGCTAGCCCATTTTTTAACTTAACCAGGTATGTTTTAATCTTAAGTGAGGCAGCAGCTATTCATTAAGCAACAAGATGGGCAGGCAGTGAACAATAATCCAAACTCTCATGTTGTTCTGAGTGCTTTAATGAAATATGTTCTAAACTGCTTGCTATTCAAATCTGAATAACCATGAATAACCATTTTTTTGAATCACTCAGTGTGTGATGAAAATGAGGCATATAGGAAAGATATAAATTAAATTGATCTTTGTAAAATTAAACTATAATGACACAGAATAAATAATGTTCAGTATTGGTGCTTTATGTACCAAGAAATACTGGCCCCTTTTTGGAGGTGGTTATGATAACGCTTTAAGACATTTTTCGTTTAAATATAGCGGTTGTTTCTCATAATCTTAGTCCAAAGTGAAGTATATTTTTAAGTATTAATTGATTTTTAATTAAGATTTTCATTAAACTTTATGAATTCCAGTATTTTTTTAAGTATTAATTGATTTTTAAATAAGATTTTCATTAAACTTTATTAATTCCATTACAGAATAATTATTGCATTAAAATAATTTGTCTTGCATAATATGTCTTTAAAATATTATAAAAAAATGTAATTCACTAAAAAAGTACTTACTACGTACAGTAACCTGTTATAATTTGAACATTTATTAAAATTTTTTATGATAAATATTAATGGAGGTGGAAGTAAAATTTCATGTCACATGTTCTAATTTTGTTTTGTGGAAAATCAGGATTTTCAGGTATTTGGGTATCCTGTAATGAGTTCATTAAAAAGAGGGGTCAGTTGTAGAACAGTTGTTTAGTTAAAATTTCTTGCCTTTTGTTTGATAGTGCCTGCTCCTCCTCCCCCAAGCTAAAAATAACTGCTATTATACATAAAGTCATCTGTTAGAGTATCAGTAATATGCATATTTTTCAATCTGATGTCCAGATGTTGCTTTTGTTTCTCTTTAGTAATAATAATAATAAAAAATTAAAATTGACTCTAAAGACAATGTGTCAAATAACCTTTAATGTAAATTAAATTTTTTTTCTTTAATACAAAATGTATCTACTATGATATAATAAAATAGCATCTTTTTAATTGTAGAATATGTTGAATTCCTTAATGATTGCAATATAACTGTGCAATCTCGTCTCAAGCCAAAGTTTCATATTAAGGTAAAACAAAATTTTCTATTTTTTCTATTGTTATATAGTTAAGTAATGCATCTTATAAGTTACATAAGAAGTCTTGGATCGTAATGTTTGTGTTTTTCAGAGTGTTACTATAAAAGGACCCGAAAAATTTTCACGCCAGATGCTTCAATATAGACAACATTTGCTTCATTTATCTGCATTGAACTTCACACCTGACATACAGGATATCAACTTAGCATCAAAATTTCTTTCATCTATCAAAGAGCATTATCCACAGCTAACTGAAAATCAGAATACAGTTTGTAAGTTGCATTTCTTATTGTTTTTCACTGTTAGATTTTTATTATAGTAAAATATATTTATTACATGTTATTGTACCTTCTAATTTTGTTACATAATTTTTTTGTAGTGGCTAAACAATGCATAAAATAACTATAAATTTGAATAAATATCTAGTGAATGGAATTCATGAAATTCCCTAAACTTTTAATATGGTACTTTTCTCTTCCAAACTTACCATGCCTTGTCCTCACAGCTGTTGGTTGTAGAGGTGTACCTTATTTTTTCACACTTTGAGTTTGGGGCCTAAAAAAATGAAAACAAATGAATAATTATTTGAGTGACAGATTATTGGCATGCTATAATAAATGTATTAATAAAAACATTATTACATAAAAGTTATTGAATCAATGTTTATTCATTATACAACTTCTATTCACTATGAGAACTGCCACCTGCCCCACCAGTGGCCAAGTGGTAAAGTCTCTGAACACTGGTAGTTTGGTCCGGGGTTCAAATCCTGGCAAACGGGCCTGACTGGATGGCTGTTAACAAATCCATATGTGAAATGTGTATACGAGCCAGTTTGCCTTAGAAAGTTCTCCATAAAGGCATCTCTCCTTTCAGAAAGGAAACCCACAAGAGCTTTGCCATAATGGAATAAACCTTAAATAAATGAAACCAGAATTCCCATTCATTAGTTGGACTTCACCTGTGTCTGATGACAAATCACTGTTTCATATATTGCGTCGGAATTTGAGATGCAGTATATCTTAAATGACTTGACAGCAATCTCAGTCTGTCTATTCTAGGATTTTTTTGACTCAAGTATGAACTTCTGTAATTAATTGGCTTATTCACTCTTCCTATTTGTGTCATATTGTACACAGAAAACTTCATCACCTATTCTTTCTATTCTCAGTGCCAGATTTTACGTATAAGCTGCACAAGCTATAGCTTATGATCCCCACTTTTCTGAGGCCACCTCAGAAATCAAGGGCCCCATACCTCAAGTAGTTTAGGATCTCATCAAATCTAAATCTGGTCATGTCGATTCCTCTCTCATGGTAGCACTGAAGGTTAAATGCTGATGATAAGAGGCTGGAATTAGCATGTCAAGCTTCTAGGTGAGTCAGCAAGTTTTGATAATAGGCCTGCTGCAGTGTTTTTTTATGTCATATCTGTTATGTGTGCTTTGAACTCATCAAGCATCTTGATCCATCCAAGTATGTCATAATCATGCACAATCACTCCTGTAGGAATGTCGTTTTTTTGGCATTGTTCATTGTTTAAAAATCAATTTGAGTGGCAGCTTGTTTCTATCAGCACCACAAGCTAGAGTAACTGTATCATGGCTTTTTATGTAGACTTTCTTCACAGTACGATCTTCAGCGTCTTCATATTAACACTTGGCATGTGGTTATACTTCGCTGCGAACTTACGCGTGCAGCAGGCATTTTTTCGTGAATCGCACGGAAGTATGGTTATTCAGGAAAATCGCAGTAAATTGAAAACTACTTCGTTTTTATGAATGAAACTTTTTTTATTTTACACTTAAATATATACTGTGTGATTTAAAAATAATAATAATAAGAAGAAGAAGAAGAAGAAAAAAAGAAAGACAAAATCACAAAAATAAATAATATTAAATTTTACAATGATTCAAATATTTTTTCATAAGAAGTACAAATAGAACTGATAACACGTTAATAGTTCTTTACAGTACGGTACCATTCAAAGCATTTTCCTGAAAACGGCAGAAGCTACATATGAAACACGTTTTACTGCAAACACACAACATTGTCTTTGTGGATTTTTCTTCTTCCCGGCACCAACAATTTTCTCCAATACGTGTTTTCACATATCCATGGGCAATCTTCCAGGAGGGTCGCGTTTTGATATCATTTGCTCTGGTTCTTCAGTGCTGATTTCAGGTGGTTCATTTAAATATATACTGTGTGATTTAAAAATAATAATAATAAGAAGAAGAAGAAGAAGAAGAAAAAAAGAAAGACAAAATCACAAAAATAAATAATATTTAAAATTTTACAATGTATTCAAAAATATTTTTTCATAAGAAGTACAAATAGAACTGATAACACGTTAATAGTTCTTTACAGTACGGTACCATTCAAAGCATTTTCCTGAAAACGGCAGAAGCTACGTATGAAACACGTTTTACTGCGAACACACAACATTGTCTTTGTGGATTTTTCTTCTTCCCGGCACCAACAATTTTCTCCAATACGTGTTTTCACATATCCATGGGCAATCTTCCAGGAGGGTCGCGTTTTGATATCATTTGCTCTGGTTCTTCAGTGCTGATTTCAGGTGGTTCATCAATAACCCAATGCCGTGCGAAGTTGTGCAAAAATTTCTTGTATTTTATTTTTTGCGTCTTTGTCGAATTGTATACTACATATTCATTGAAAAATGCACAATTCATCATATACATAGCTAAGCGCTTTGTCCACTTCACTGTTCTACGCAAAATACTATAGTAGGACAAATACTGATCGGCCCAATCTACTCCTTTCATGTACAGGGTGATTATAATTAAAGTTTAAGTTTCAGAACGCTATAAAAAACAGAACCACTGATGAAAATGATGTGAAATTTGAAAGGAATGTTATTGAAGAAGGCGGAAAGCATATGGCAGAAGAAAAAAAAAATTAGTTTCAAAAGTTAGCAACAGATGGCACTGTAAGTGGCAGAATCACGACAAGAAACGAGAAATGATTTGTAAACAACGGCTAAGGTGGAAGTTACACATTAAAATGCATTGACAAATTAGAATTGTTGAATAATTTTATTTGCATGACTGTACATATAACATCGAAAGGGACAAATCGGTTTCAAGAGTTTTGCGGTGACATACCGCATAAGAACCATTCAAGAAGTTCGGAACTGTCGCGAGACTGGTGCAAAACATGTTCAATATGGTGTCCACCGTTGTGTGCAACAAGTTGAAAGCGACAAACAGCATGTTCCACAACGGATCGCAGTGTCTCTGGGGTGATGTTCAGAATGTGTTGCGAAATGCGTGCCTTTAATTCTGCTAAATTTGCAATTGGAGCACGGAACACAACATCCTTCAGACATCCCCACAGCCAGAAATCACACGGAGTAAGATCAGGCGATCGGGACGGACAGGCTGTAGGGAAATGACAGCTGATAATTTGAGCATTTCTGAAATGGCGCCTCAGCAGCTGCTTCACGGGATGTGCAATGTGCGGAGGAGCGCCATCTTGCATAAAAAGGATTTCATCCACACGTCCATGCTGTTGCAGACCTGGAATCACGTGGTTGCGCAAAAGAGACGCATACCTCTGACCAGTGACGTTTGCGGTAACAGGACCGGAAGCACCCGTCTGCTCGAAAAAATATGGTTGTAGGATGAATGATGCCGTAAAGCCACACCATACCATGACCTTTTCAGGATGAAGTGGCACGGGGTGCGTTGCCAGTGGATTTTCTGTTGCACATATTCGACAATTCTGGGTATTCACATATCCTGTCAGATGGAAATGGGCTTCATCTGTCCACAAAATTTTCCACGGCCTTTCATTATCCACTTCCATGCAAGCCAGGAATTCTAATGCAAACGTCTCCCTACGCTGTCCGGTGAGACGGAAGAAACTCCTGCACATGGCCAATTTTGTATGGATAGCATTGCAGGATGTTTCGTACAATTTTCAGCACTGTGCTCTACCGTCGAATGCACTCGTTTTCTCCCTCTACCAGATTGCACATCAAACGAACCTGTCATTTCTAATTTTTGCATAATTTTCTTTAGACCTACGACACTCATTGGACCAACGCTTTCTTTTATACCCTTCAGTGTCCTGAATTTTTGCAGAGCTGCTCTTGCACAATCATCATTCTTGTAATACAGCTTTACCAGCAGAGCGCGGTCCTGCAGTGAAACACCCATGGCGAATGTCTGAGACATGAAATGAGGAACAGCCTGGTACCTGGCGGCTTTATAACACTGAAATTTAACTAACATTTTAATTTACGTCTTCTTCCGCTTGCAGTACCATCTGTTGCTACCGCCTTCTTCAATAACATTCGTTTCAAATTTGACGTCGTTTTCATGAGTGGTTCTTTTTTTATAGCGTTTTGAAACTTAAACTTTAATTATAATCACCCTGTACTTGTTGTAGTCGATCAAAGCATTTGGCTTTGTAATTTTTTGTCTCTTGATACGATCAACGTTGCTACTTTCTTTCATTTCCATGAAATGAATTGAAGAGATGAGACTGACTTCTTTCTTGGATTGCCAAACTTGTACCAGTATATCATTTTTTCTTTGAAAGATTGTTTCTCTTTTTTTCAAATAAGTTTTTTTGAGGCACTCTGGTAGACCTCTATTCTTCCTAATTGTTCTGCAAATTCGTATTTTTATTTAAAAAAATTTTTTTTTCTAAAAGGGCTTCCTTGTTATCAACGCTGTAGTAGTAATTGTCCATGTACAAGTGGTGCCAGACATCAGTATATGGCAAAACTACTGTGAATATCGTTTCGATCAAATGTAATCCTTGAGCTACATAAACTTCAAAATTGCAAATATAACCAGTGTCACTTCCAGACAATATTTTTATGAGTATGCCATATTTTATAATTTTTTTAGCATTGTAAACTCTAAAAAACAATCGTCCTCTCCAAGGTATTATGCCCTCATCTAACGATATATGTTGTTTCGGTTTGTAAATGTTATTGAATTTTTCAACAAAATAATTTAGTATAGGCCTGACTTTGAATAATCGATCAGAATCGTGATGTCTTCACTGTTATTGAAATACCAAGCCTTCCATATTTGGCGAAATCTATTCCCTCGACATAGTTTTGAAAAAAAAACAGTTCTTAGTTTTGAAAAAAACAGTGTACTTGTGCAGACATCAGTTGACCAATAATCGTCTCGGGCGTCTTTACCAACTTGTCCCTATGAAAATAATAAGCCCTCAAAAATTTCTCCATGGCCGGAATCGTAATATTTCTCCATTTCATGCTTTTGGGAGATATTTTGAACTGATTCATATTTTGATAATAATACCTGTTTGATTCCGTGACTAAATATGCTAAAAAGTCATTGCCTATAAATAACTTTACTGCATCAGCTGTGGATTCAGGAACATTAGCCATGTTAGTTATCCCAGGATGACCCAAAAACTCTTCAAGGTCTGGAGTATTGTCAATCTATGACCATTCATCTGCTTCATCAGAAGTTGTTTCAGAACTACTAGAAATTCTTTTTTGGATGAGCACTCGAGAACGTGGAATAATTTCAACATCTTCACTTCCTTCGATATCTTGACTTTTAGAATCACTATCATACAAAAAGTCCAATAATCTGTCAGCGCATATTTCTTTATCACTACCTCTGTCACAACAGTTCATTTTATCAATTTATTTAATCAATAATAAAAAAACCAAGCTTCATATTGACAAAACACGACTTGTACGTTCTGGAGCTAAGAATTTGATTGAAGATGAAGTAACAAAAGACCAAGTATCTCGACCATTCGTAACTTGTTGAAAGAAAAAATGCAAAGCGTTGCCTAGCAATGCAAACAACACTCCTATAATGTCTAGATTTGTGGTGGTTAGCGGGTATCCATCACAAATCTACTAAATACGTATTTTTACGTGACCCGCACTCCAGTGACAGACTGCAAAAAACGCAAAAATACATTGCTCGCATGCCATACATATTTTTACGTGACCCACGCTCCAGTGACAGACTGCAAAAAACATAAAAATAAGTTGCCCCCATCCCAAGTGTTAACAGATTTATTACTTGGAACATTAACACATTGGCAGTGGCACAGATATTCATTGTTCTTTTCGTGCAGCGGCGCTTAAATTTGCGGTCCTCTTCGTGGGATGAATAGAAACAAGGCCGTGAATAGAGCAAAGAAAGTAACTACATATTGCGATAATTGTAAGGGCGAGCCAGCGCTTTGTTTAGCCTGCTTTAAAAAATTTCATAGAAAAAATTAATAATTATATTTAATTTATGAGTTATTTGTTTTTTATTGAATGTTTGATGTTGAAATGTTAATGTATACAGTAATTAAAATAAAATTTTATACTATGTATTTTTTGGTATACAAGCGTGACCCATCCATGAGTTCGTGAAGCAGCATGACCCACTGCCCCACGGAACAGACAAGTATGACCCACCGATGGGTCAGGCCGGCATCAACGTGTTAAATTGAAGGTGGACTTTCATGACTAAATGATGAAATTCAATAACCTTTTACTCAAAGCTTTCAGGCATCTTTTGGCCGTGTCTTGTATGCATATTTTAGTCCATTTCATGAACCTGAAGTACCAGTTGTGTATTTTTTTCACACTATCTGCATAGAAACTCTGTTCACTTAATCTCTTAACTGCAACTGGTGTTTTACTTTTATATATATACAAATTCAAATATCTTCAGTCTGCATATGGCCTCTAAATATGATCAGCTTAAATGTCAAATATCTCCTGTGTTTATTAGAGGGGAGTTAGGCAAGTTGCACTTTTTATGTTTTTGTTTTATATAAGGAGAATATTTTTTTTTTCCCTAAATAAAAAAAAGTTATATTTTGTTATTTTTTACCAAAATGATTTCTTTAAAATTACAGAATACATGAATACCAAGACATGAATATTTTTATCATTTAAAGCATTTTTGTGAATGATAGTAGACGTCTGTGACCAAGGATTGGGGAAGTAAAAGCTGGGTATTTGTGGTCTGGATATATATTGCTATATGGATATTTTGTACCACTATCTCTAAAGTATATTGTTATCCCGAGCTTTAAATCAAATCGAACAAGCGATGCACATTTAAAAATATCTAATTTGTATGAATAGTTAAGAAATAATGTATATTCTTACAAAATCTGATTTGTCATCATTATGTACTTATATATTTGTATAAATGCATAATTATGTATGGAAAATATATCCTAATAATAAAACATAATTAATATATACATGTAAAATGTCTAACTGCTGTTGATAAAAGTTATTAAATAAATGCTTGATACAAGAAGCAGATGCTCCAGTTACGAAATGTAGGGACTTCCTTCATATCCAGAATGAACAAAAAGCATTAATTTAAGATCAAATTGTGTAGATCAGTAAGAAACAGAAAGAATCGAGAAAGATAAGAAAAATTTTTACATTTTCTGTTTATTTTTAAACTTAGAATTATTGCTGAATTTTGAGTATTTTTATGTTAAGCAACAATGGCTCATTTCAACCTTAACAAGAAATAGATTGTTATTAATGCAAACAAGAAATTAATTCAGTATCTACAGTGCACAATTTATATACTCGTACAGAAGCAGTTTCATATTAATTTCTTATATATTTAAATAAAGAAATATAGAAACATCCTGAAATTCATTGTAAATAGATACTTCCTGGTGACCACAATTCATCAACTACTGCTGATAATACATAAAATACGTTATCATAACTCAACTCATGTGATAATGAACGTAAACTGTGCTAAATAGGACTATAGATATTGCTAAGCCATACTGATGTCTCTTTCATTCCATCTTTTGTGTCTGTTACTGATGCTTGAACATGAAACTCTGATAAATAGTATCCTAGATTAGCAAGCTTTTGTGATTTTTATTCCACTACTTCAGTGAGCTTCTAAATCTGAAATATTAATGACTCTTACGACTAAATATTTAGCAATGAAAAATTAAGAAAATTTTTATTGGCTGAAGAAACATGAAACTATGCAGATCGGTAACCATTTATTTTTCATCAGGGTGGAAATGTTCCAGTTTTCCCCCCTTTTTTGGCCACAGACACTTACTTGGAGCATTATGTTTCTTTTGTATAATATATATTAATTTGAAGAAAAAATTAATTGCATTAAAATTATTTAAAAAGTATTTTGTTATGTTTAATTAATTGTGAATTCTCTTTTTGCCAGCTCTTGGTGCATTGGTTTCGAATAATTTCTGCAATCAAATACTTGAGCAAATAAATACTACTGTGATTCAGGAGCATTCTTTAAATATTCCTCATACATCATTTATGGGTCCATCCTTTGGTATAGTAATGGATGGTGAAAACTCTCAATGTGACAAAAACCTCATAGCAAAAGTAACTGAAATTGAAGGTAAAAACATTGAAAACCTTTTTAAATTTTTTTTTTTTTTTGGTGTATGTGCATGTTGGAGGTATTATTTGTAATACAGTCAAAAGTCGTTAATCCGGACTCGTCGGGACTTCGGCAATTCCGGATTATCGATTTTTCCGGATTATAGATCATCAGTTTAAATCTGGTAAGATGGCATGCAGAAATTATAAAATTAAAAATATGAAACTGTAATTTATGAAATAAAGAACAATTATGATCTAAAGGGTATCAAAATTTACAAAAAGAAAAAAATATTTATTTGTTTACTTTATTAAGCATTTCTTTCAATGTAAGTTGCTTCATTTCATGTGATAATACTTTCTCTTTAATTCTATTAAACAGACATAATTTCTTTTTTAGTTACAAAGTTCCGCTGTTCAAGTCCTATAATTGCTGTGTTGAGAATACGGACTAATTTGTCAATCGAAATGTTTTTGTTTTCAATAACCTCTGGGTCACTTTCTTCACCATGGGAAGGGATAATGACGAGGAACTTGATTTAAATCATATCAAAGACTTGCAAAAAATAATAAGCCGGATCGAATTCGAAGATTAAGGAACAACGCAATCTGCAACATTAACTGAATTTTTAGCTTAGCTTATACCTCCGTTACACATTAAACGCGCATGCGCACAAACATATTCGCTGACGTAAAGGTCTTACGCGCACTCTTAAACGCCTGTGCGCATCTGTGAACGCGCGCATGCGCAGAAAGTTTGTAGCTTTGAAATCCGGATTATAGATTATTCCGGATTACGGGTGTCCAAATTAACGACTTTTGACTGTAATAATAAAAATACATAGTAACAACACCAAAAAATAAAAATATTGTTTAAATAAATGAAAAAAGCATATAAGGGAAGTGCAAAAAGAGAAAATGTTCTATTAATGCATTTATTTATTAAAATACTAGGTAATGGTTTTTTTTTAATTCTTATTTTCTTTCTTGCTTATTGCTGAAGAAATAATGAAATTTAAAGCAGGTATATTTGTTTTTAATGTTATTTGTTCATTTATTTAGTATGATTTGTTCCTTAGTAAATGATTAATTTTAAATGTGATCTGTAACTTGAACATTGATTGTATGAAAAAGATTAAAGTTGAATTGAAATCCAATTCTTTTAGGTAAGCATTTCACTTAATTAATCATATTTAAGACTGTTCTTTTCTCTAGAGATATTTTTGGCTTTGTAAGAGATATTTTTAAAAAAGTGTTCAAATGTTTTATGTTTTTATAGAATGTGAGATTCATTCAACATAGGCTAGTAATGTATAGGAATAATATTCCAAAAAATGTAATAAGGCTTGTATGAAGAAGAGAAAGATGTCGGAATTGTTTGAATAAGTTTTGAAACAGTTTTGTTGACAATAACAAAGGAAATGAAAGTATGCAAGACAATCACACCAGTTGTAGGAACCAATACACTGAGCATTTTATCCAGAAGTGCTGGATCTCTGAAATATATTAATTTCTGCAGGTGTAATACTGCTTTATCATTATAACCATTGCAGCAGTCAGATTGATTGCTAGTAAAGGTTGTATCTTTATAATATCCAAAGCATTCTGAAAGTGAAACTATATGACTTTTCATGAAATGAAACATGCAGCATTTGAAATTAAGAAAAGAAGTATGTTTCAAATTTGAACTTAAAGATGTTTATACCTGAAACTAAGACAGCAGTATGTTTAACCATTATATCAATATATGACTGAAAAACTTAAATTAATTATTCCTCATGAAACTAATTTATTCTTTGTAAATGTTGTTTCTAGTGATTAAAGGAAATAAAATATGCATATCTAAATCATTTTTTCAGGCATTTCCAAACTGAATTTCCATTTCTGTATTCATACAAGGTACCCTGCAGTAGTTTCTGTTAATGTGGAGTCTAACTTCACAGGGATTTCTGAAAGCTCAAAATGCCTTTTCCCAAAGTATAGAAATGTTCTGGATTGTTGAGTGGAATGCACTTCGTAAACACCTGAAAGCCTTTGAGCTTCAACTGAATTCCCATTTCTATGGTTTTACAAGATACACTTTATTATTTCTAGTTTATGTTGAGTGTAATTTCTTGGAACACAAAGTATCCCCATTGCTCAAAATGTCTGTCTCAAGCAACTCAACAGTTCTGTAAATGTAACTTTTCCTTAAAATTTCTTTTCATGGATTGAAAACATGGCATAGACGTGACACATTTTAAGTGACTATGAAAAAGGTTATCTTAACATTGATCTGTTGTTAGGGGCAAGATTATTATAGTAAAATGCTTACAGGAAGAATATATATATTGAAGTCCAGTTTGGTTGATGGGAAGCCCATTTAGGATGTGTTATTAAGGGCAGCATGTTAGGAGACGAGTTTGACAAAACTTTGACCCACTTAACGACCTCTTTATTGATTAAAGATTCTTCTGTGTTCTTAATTGTGAGAACTAGGCACTACAGGTATACTCTTCAACATTTCCATAGAGATGAAAGTGGCTATTATGTTGTCAAACTGCCTTGATTAGAGACGTACAGGACTTTAGTGAGTGAGAAGTTAAAACTGAAAAAGATGCACTACCTCTTCTCAGAAGCTTCTTAAGGGAGGGAAATATGATGACTATAATACTGTATTTAAGGAAAGCTTACAGGAAAATATCACTGAAAAAGTACCAGATATTGAATCGGAAAACTCTTTATTTGCATGATACATCTATTTTTAAAAAGAATTCTACTATAAAAATAGACCGTCATAAGAATTAAGAACTTACCTTCACACAAACATTGTCAAGAAGCATAGAAGCAGAACCAAATCTTATGGAAAAAAATTCTTCCATTTCTTAGAAGATATCATCAGAAAGAAATTGATGTAGTTTCAGAAAAAAGCCTTTTTTACAGTAATCTGTGGCCAAAAAAGACCTGGATTTTCTAAGATTATTATGAAAGGAAGGGGAAAAAAATAGTCACTGACGAGCAGTGTTGGCAGATTGTGCGATTCGCAAATTTGCAACTTTTGACAAACTTGTGCTACTGAATTTTTGTGACATCCATCATTTTATGCTACTTTTTGCGACTTTAAAAGATTTTTTTAATATATTGTAAAATGCTTTTATTTTAAAATAATTTATTAATTAAATATAATTTATGTTAAAAAGTAGTTTATTTAGGCTTAAATAGAAGTTGACATCTGGCAATCTTATTTAGATGTGGGCTTTCCTTTTCAATTCTGTACAGCCTGATGTCGGTATAACAAGAAAGGGGTAAAGGAAGTGAAAAAAGTAAAAAGAAAGAAAAGTGCTTGTAAAAAGAAAGAAAAGTGCTTCGGGACCTCTCACCACCCTCCCTCGTCCCCTGTGCATTTTGTTTTTCAGTCCCCCCAGTTCTATGGTGATAATGAATCAAACCAAAGAACTTGCAGCTGTGCCATATATTTGGTACCCAAACAGAGAAATAAATTCATACTACTGATTATAATATTGCTAAGAACTAAGCAATGGAAATAACTTGAAAATCAAAGCAACAGCATTTTTCTAAATAACAACAAAAATAAATTTAACAGTGAAAGAACAAGGCTTTCGTAAGTGATCAAAATCTGAAACAGATCTGCTACACAGAACGGAAAACTCGCTGAAAAGCATTCCTCAATTAAAATGTTAACAATTAAGCAAAAAACAATTAATTTAAAAAATTAACTGCCAACTAAAAAATTTTATTACAAAGCTAACAGTCTAAACGTGAAGAATCTCTTGAGAATGGATATCTTCAAATTAATTTTAAAACTGAAACTAAATTAAGTAAGAATTAATTAAAACAGAAATGGATATTTAAACAATTGAAAATGAGCAATATGGTTTTAAATTTTTTGTTAAAGCTAAGGTATGTAATTATAAAGACTAATTGAATACAGCCTGTAACTTGCAGAACCAATAGATGGTAAATTTGTGATGACGTCAGAGTTCATGTGAGCCTGCATAACTATGATGTAACAAAAATCACATGATCTCTGATGTCATTTGTGATTTTTTGCGACATTTTTAGTCTTCTTTTGCTACTTTAGTTGAAAATTTTCTGGCAACACTGCTGACGAGTAGTATTTGGACTTACAAGCAGTCCTTACCTGCTAGCTGCCATTCTCAGTTTCCATTTGAAGCAAAATGAAAGCAGTTTTCCTAAAACTGAAGAAAATCTGAGGAATGTATTCCTTATAGATAATTGGATAACTCTTTTGTTTAGTCCGGATGAATTTTTAAAATTTATGTATGAAGCAAAACTGATTCTATCTATAGGTTGCTTCACACAGCGATGATTGGAACACTGCAATCTAATGGGAGAAGAGTGACCACAGAAACCTATACCTGTTCTTAAATTTTATTGTGGGACAAAGCTATTCTTTTTCATGATCTTTTTTTAAAATACTAGACGATATATATTCTTTTAACAATTCACAGTATCTTTGATTCCATTGGAATTGTGTCCAGCAACAATTTATTTAAAGGTAGAATAGCTTGATCCAGAAGACTGGCTGGGATGAAATTTGGAAGCTATTCACCTTCAGTTCAGTACATTGAAGATTTGCACTTATTGATAGAGATCAAAATTCCAAAATATGTCCAAGGTAATGCTGGTGTTCAAGGTATACTTTTACCTTCTGATCATCAAGTTGTAGAGGAATTAATTTTTGAGTGACATTTGCTGTAGCAGATATTCATCAGCATTTTTATGGTCTAAGAGGGCACGAAAAGATCAGAGGGTAATTGCAAAATGCATTCAATGCAAGAGATATGATGCAAAGAAAATTGAACCAATTCTAGTCATGCTGCCTGGAGATAGGGTCCAAGATGCTTTGGTTTGGAGGTAACTCGAATAAATTCAGCTTGACCTCTTCGTCTTAAGAATGGCAAGAAAAGCTGGATATTTTTATTTACCTGTGCCGTTTATAGGGCCCTAAACTTTGAACCAACAGAAGGACTTTCCAATGGTGATTTTTTTTTATTGGCATGCATAGCGTTCATAGCTAGATGTGGACCACAAATTATGTATTGACAATGCTATAGATTTTGTTGGAACTAACAACCTATTCTCTTGGTTGGACCAAAATTGTTCAAGAAAGTTCCCTTTTGAAGATTGCATGGAAATTCAATCCCCCCTACAGCTGTGTGGTGGGAGTGTATTGTAAGACAAGAAAATTTTGAAAAGAATATTTGGAAAAAACTTGCTTTGAGATTATGAGAAGCTGTTAACCATTCTCTATGATATGGAATCAGTAAGCAACACAAGATTGTTAAATTACTAATGTGAAGATTCTGAAAATTTAATTCCTTTAACCTCGTCAATGTTCATTCAGGATATAAGAAAGGGAGCATTCCAGACCTGGTACCGTGTAAATGAAGTCAATATTACTAAAGAGATTCAACAAGATCTGAGTGTGTTGATCCAGTCCAAAGATAATAAATAGATACATTTCTAAATCCATACATTTAGGAGATGTTGTAGGAAGGTACCCCCATCTCCCCCCGAAAATCTGAACTGACCCATTGGGGGAAGTTATATAACTATTCTATATTCAGTATGATTGTGTTAAGAGTTGCTAAGGTGAAAATAGTTGCAGATAAATGTATCTATGTGGAATAATTGTACCCTTTTGAAGTGTTAGATGATGAGAGCTAGTTTCTACATAGACAAAATCAATTTAATATTTATGCTAGTAAAGACATTAACATTTGAAAAGACAGTTAAAACTAGAAATGATAAGACATTTGTAAAACCTTTGCATTGTAAACAGTGTTTTTTTTTTTTTTTTTTTAATTTGGATGCACAATTTACTAAGTATGTTGTTGTTTAGTCTTTTTGCTAAGTGTATTAATTTATGTTGATTGCTAAATATATTGATTTCTGCTGATTTTGGTTGTTTGACTTCTAAATTAATCTTTGTTCGGCATGTTATTTTAACCTAAAATATTGATGTGTTTTCGTTCACCTACCATAAATCAAGAGGTGGGAGGAGATGTCGTGACCATCTCAATGGTTGTGTAAACATAGTTCTTCCTTAAAGTTATTTCACATGGTTTGGCAACACTGTATTAAAATAATGGCGGAGTTGCACCATGTTTTTGCACTGAGGTGGATAGCCTGTTTTATTTTATAATTAAGTGGATTGCCTGCATTATTTAATTAGTTACTTTTTTTTTTTTTTTTTTTTTGTCTTTCTTGGTTGAGAACCAATTAAATGAATGGAATGCAGTTAGTTTCTCTCAACAATGGTTTTCCTGAAAATATGGAAATGTTGAGTATTATCCATTGGAACAGGCTTTGTAGAATTCACTAAATGCCATGTTTAGTTTGGTCAGTTACATTATTTATTGTGTAGTGTGTAAATATTACTTATTCAAGAAGGAAAACATTGTTTATGTAGTATCTGCTACAGAACTGAATGAAAGAATTTGAACAGTCTCATTTATTTCTCCTTTTTATGTACATTTAAGCACCTTTTCTCCTTTTTTCATCATTCAAGAATTAAACCTTTGCATTTGTATTAAGATCATACGTAGGTAAGGTGGCTGAGAGCAGACATTCGTCTGGAATGATAAAAAAGCTTCGGTGGCTGAGAGTAGATATACAACCACATAGAGTTCATAAAAAATGTTTATATAATAACTGTTACAGAACTGAGTAAAGGAATTTTATCAGTATTAGTTTGGCATTGTTTTATGTGTATTTATTTCCTATTATTCATTAGTAATTTTTTCTCTTTAACATTTTTAATCATAACAATTTTTTATTTGACAAACCTAAGTGATCTTTATAAATTTAAAATTATTCTATTATGAGCAAAATATGATGACAAAACATTTATTATGCTACAGAGGTACTTGCATGTTATTGCAACCACCTTAATAGAAGTTGCCAAATATTCAGTATGTGCCAAACGCTAGCAGCCATGTGTGGCATGTGTTCAGGCAACCATGCTCATAGCAGTCCCCCAGTCAAGCAGTGTTGTCATTTTAGTATGCGCTATTTTTTGTTATATTCAATGTTCCAGTGTTTAAACAAATGGTGATAGTTTTTGCCTTAAATTTTAAAATATGGTCTTAGAGAATTTGCCAGCAATAGGAGAAACGGTGGTAAAATTTCTGCAGGAGTACATTTTTGCCACAATTTTTAAAGGGAACAAGGAGGAGATGCAGTTGATAGATAGATAACCACTGTTGCTGAGTCTGTATAATTCTCTGATTTTTTTTCAGAAAACAGATTGCTATGTACTTGGGGAGAAGAAAGTACCAAAAAATAGACTTTGATAAATATCAATAATTTGACAATCTCACCCCCCCCCCCCACAAAAAGGCACAAAAACCACCAACTTGTACCTGATAAGTAACTGCCTTTTTATCTCTGAAAAATTGTGAAATTGCACCAGGTGGTTGCTTAATACATAAGTACCATTACAACATTTAATTTTACTTCTGATATTTATAAATTACAATGGAAAATCTGCACAAGATGATTTTCATTGTTAAAAGAGATTAATTATTTTATAAATAATATATGTAATAGTTTCCAGGTAAATTTCTAAATATGGGAAGCAATATCAGTACTGAAAATTTGTTTTCCTAACATTTGCTGTTCTTTAAAATCTAAATGAACAAACTTATAACAATGACTTGTTCCAAAAGCGAAAAGTTTCATGTTAAGGAATGCAGAGCTTTTCAGTGCTTCTCATAAAGTGTTCTTCTTCTTCATTTGTTTCAATCTCCACTGCAAAATTGTCAGTTCATGTGCCTTTTTCAATAATTCATTTAATGTTTTCACTGTTAAAAGCATTTTAAAGCTGTTCCTTATTATTACTGTTTTCCCTGTGAAGCTGATGTGATTATATTATCTGAGTCGTCATTTGCCATTCATTCTTTGTCTTCTCCTTACAAATCTGAAAATCCAACAGTTGCTTAGCAATTTATACAATTTTTGTAACTTCATTTTTAGTCGAGGGAAATCTCTAAATTGTTATTAACATCTGGCCAGAACTGATGCAAATACTCATTGTTGATAAATGAATGCTTAATTTAGTATGAATGAAATTCTAGTATTGGACAAATCAAATTATTGCTATTAAAAAACCGCATATAAGTGAAGTTGTTTTCAACATGTCCGTGCTTGGCATGGGTTTACTGTAACACAATTTAACTGTATTTCATAGAAAATGGATAAAAATATGTGGAATGCTAAAAAATATCGAAAAAGGCTAAAATATATTCAGTAATGGCATCTTCTATGCATGAGCTAATACAAGTAATTTTCTTCAGACTGAAATAAATGAGTATTTGCGTAGGAGGAAGTGCCTAAGTTTAAAATTATCAGAGTTAAAAGACCTTGCAGTGATGATTAAAAGAAAATTGCTTAAAAGAAAAATGCTGGCAACCATGTGCATATTGTTTAGCAACCATGCTAATAACAGTTCTTCAGTCAAGCACTTGTCGTCATTTTAGTATGCATTATTTTTTGTTGTATTCATTGCTCCAGTGTTTAAACAAATGGTGATATTTTTTGTCTTACACTTAAATTTTAAAATATGATCTTGGGGAATTTGCCAGCAGTAGGAGAAACTGTGGTAAAATTTCTGCTGGAGTACAGTTTTGCCACAAAATTTTTAAAGGGAACAAGGAGGAGATGTTTCTAACACAGAGCAGAAAGTTTCTGAACACAGAGCAGAAAATATAGAGGAATAAGGACTGAAAGTGCTGCTAATGCTAATTGCAAAAATGCATAAATAAAGTTGTAGTCATAGCTAAAATGCATATGAATAAAATGCGTATATGCCATGTTGGTATGGTAATTGTATATTAATTTGATAAAAAGTACAAATTCATAACTTTTTGTTAGGAATTACTAATTTTTTTAAAATTATTACTACTTAAAAATTATTATCCTTGTATTATTTTCATTACTACTTAAAAGGTATTGAACCTCTTAAGAAATTATTATCCTTGTATTTTTTTCCTCACAAGTTTTAATATTTGAAATTAATTATATTGTGAAAGGTTAATTAATGCATCCATTTTAAGTTTGTTCTTAATAGGGAAAAATGATAGCTGCCACAGTTCTAGGCTGAGAAAAAGCTTTCATGGTTCCAAATTTTAAAGTGAATTCAAAAAACTTTTTTACCCCTGTAAACCCTCTCATCAAAGATTTTTTTTTTCTTTGGATGCAGGGCAACAAAAGTAAACTTATAAAAATGCCCCAAAGGAACTACTTCACCACAGAAATTGGTGAAGTTTTCCATCCTAACAAGTATGTTTAATTTTCTCCCTAGAGAATTGCATGGGTTGTTTTCTTTTTTACTACTGGTGGAAGAATTATTTTTAAATTGCTGTTTTAATTTTTAACATAGCTCAGTTACATGATGATATATTAATTTCTGTAAGTGTAATAATTAATTAGTGAAATAACATCTTCCAGGATACTTAAATCGAACTTTATGTGATTCTGTCAAAAAGACTGAAACGGATTTTAAATCCAGTTCTTTTGGATATAGAATCCCACTTGATAATGGTAATTAATTTAATGTTGTTTAATTTGTTTTGTTCAGATTCTTTGCTTAAATTATGTAACTTTTTATTTTTTTGTTTTATTTATTTATTTATTTTATTTTTTTATAGAATACAGGCAGGCAACATCTGCAGTTAATGCTGAAGTCGTCAGTGGTCAGGTTGTAAAATGCACAAACTGGAGTCAGAGTGCTGCAAACCAAAAAGGTTTCTGTACTTCTTATTCATAATTTACTAATTTGAAACCTTTATGCATAAGTGCAGTTGTTAGTCTAAATAGTTATCAATTTTAATTAGGTTTTAAAGAAACCTGACATTTGCAAGATTAACTAAGTAAATTTGTAAATAACAGTTTCTGTGTATGATTATTTCATTACCATATGAAACAACATTTGGTTATCCTTCAAGTTCTGCAGTTTTTTAATCATAAATCCAAATGAAGCTGTACAAAAACAAGAAAATTTCCTTGAATCTTTAATTAAATAACATAAGTACTATTTTGTTTAGTGACTTTTTGCCATCTCTCCAGCAGCTGTAAAATTCCTTCTTTAAATACATAATTAGATTCATTCATAAAAAAGTTATCAATGTTCTGTTTTGAGTCTCAAAAGAAATGAACTCCAGGCTCATCAGAATTTTGGAAGTGACCTGAAGAAATAAAAATTGAAGGGAGCAAGGTCTGATAAATATGAGGATGACACAAAACATCCAGCCAACTGCCTAAAAGTCTCTGACATTCATCAAAACGTGGGGCGATGTATTGTCATAATGGAATATGAACACCATGATGATTGGTCAGTTTTGAATGCTGTGCTTTGATATTTTCTTTCAAAACTTCCGTTTGGGAACAGTATTTTTCTGAATTTATTGCTGATTTGGTTGCAGCAATTCACAGTATATATATCCTTTGGATTTTCATCAAATACAAGGAATTATTTTTTGGAGATGTGGCTCCCCTCTGAATGTTACTGAAGGAGGCTCTAATGTCTTACCCCATGATCTTTTTTTTCCTTGTAATATTCTTGTAACTTCTTATCTCCAATTATTAAAAAAAAAAGTTAAAAAAGGAGTTTTCTTTTCAGTGAAGAATCGCATGCAAAAATCCAAGCAAGCCTATTCTCTGTTAAACTATGGGGTACCTAATTTAACTTGCATGCTGATCGCTGCACTTACACACATTATCACCGCATTCTTCTGCATAAGATTATGTACTGTACCATTTAAAATATTTAGTCTGACTGATAGTTTCTGAACTGCACAATGTATTTTCAGTAACAACTTCTTTGAATCATCTCTTAATAGGTCATTTTTTACGAAGGGATGGTCATTTAGAGCAAGCATCATCTTTAAGGCTGAAATTTCCACACTTAAACTTCTCCTTCAAACTGTGTCGTCAGAAACAGTACTTCATCTATGTATAGCTGAAGTAGTACAAGCAGTCTAACTGGCATTTTTCCTTTTTTTGAAATGAAAGAGCATGAAAGTTCCATTTTTTAAGCCCTGGACTTAAAATTACAATGATGCTACTATACCTGGAATTACTATATTAACATGACCTGGCTGTTAAACATCCACTTTGATCAAGGTCGCTCTTTATCAGCAGTAACAAAGTAATTTAAAGAAAACATGCTTCAATTTGAAGAAGTACACAACTTTTTGGATGACCTAGTTTCTTTAAATTCACGATCACTTCGTCCTCAAGTACTTAAAATCTGCATTCATTTCTGGGCAAACAAATTTTAGAAAATTTAATATGGCAAATTTAACAATGATTTTTTCATATATATATATGATTATGCAAATAAACCTTTTTTAAAAAATTAAAATGCGCTATAAAATGTTTTAATAGAAGAAGCAAAGTATTGTTGTTATTAAAGCTATTTATCATGTTCTGTACATGATTAATGCTGTCTTTTTACCAAAAGACATTGTTCATGAATCTGGAGTTTTCTGGTTTAAAGTAATTGCTGCTTTTGAGTTTATGGTGACATAGGTAGACAGGGCAAGGAGGGACATCAGTCCCCGGGCAGAGCATCCAGGGGGTGCCAAACTGCTGTTAAGAAATTTAAGAATGAAAAATTTTCCATTCTTGGCAAGCAGAAGGGGTGCGAAATCTTTAGTTGTCCCCAGGCGCTAAAAACTCTTAATTATTCCTCTGCTGTTGTCTTTTAAAATTACTTTTGAATTTATATTGGTAAAATGCATACGGAATTTATCTGCAGTCTCCTTTTCAGGGGATGAGCCTCAACTTGAAAAGCACTTGGTTGGTTTGTTTACATCAGCATTTTAAAAATAGCCTTAGTATAGATATTACTGCTGTTAAAAAAGGAGTTAAAATAGAAATTTTCTTTTAATAAATCTAGTATTTCAATTTTAACTTTCTTTCCAAGTTCCTAATTGTATTTGTTGACTCAACTGCATATGTGTGAAATGTAATGGTAGAATTTGTGTAGGGATTAAATTTAGGGCAAATAGTACTGCTACGATTTTTGTAAAGAGTGAGTTTATTTATTTATATTTTCCTTCTCATTTGAAAATGTAAAAATTGCACAAAAATAATTTTAATGTAGATATATTATGGATTTTATTCATGGATATATGATTAATAAATTATGGATATATTTTTACATACAGTACTTCAACATATTTTTGTATTGATAATTATTAATAGTTTTAAGTTTTATGTTGTCTGCAGAGGAGGGAATCATTGCAAGATCTCCATTAGTATGTTTACTGTAGAATCTTACTGCAGACAAATATGAGACTACAGTGGCACGCAAAGAATGACTTTCATTGTCTTTTCAGACAAATCTAGACTTAACGTACAAAGGCATAATGATTTTGTCGTTGTCTCATGCTGTGTAACTACAGATGTCATGACCAGAAAATTACGCATCGCCTTATTGGTCCTTCACCTGAGTTACGTTTGGTTTGGAATGCCACTGGATATTACTACATTCCCATTTCATGTATCTGGAATTTGGCCTTTCCCAGGTATTTCAGAACTTTTTCTGTAATAGGTGAATGAGGATGTTTAGTCTTTGTGACATGTATGGGAAAAAAAAATCTCTTAATAGTCTAAGAAAGCTGAGTGATAAATGAAGAAATGTAGTTTCACTATATTGCTTAGTTTAATGTACTGTTTCAAGGGAAAGTAGAAATAAAAATCATGCTTTTTCCAGTAAAATAATGATGAAAGTAATATAGTTAATGGAACTCTGTAAGAATATTGAGAGTGGCAGAAGCAGAGTGAAAGCAAATTTAAAAATGTGAGAATAGAAAACTGAGAAAGATATGTTAGATTGTGATGCGTAGGTAGTTTCTTACTATTTGTAGTATTTATGGCTATCAATCTAGATATCAGCGTAGGTAGTTTCTTACTATTTGTAGTAATTATGGCTATCAATCTAGATATTAGGTAAGAAATTTATGAATCTGAGGAGAGAGGGTTAAAATGTTAAATTCAAGAGTATATGCAAGATTGCACATTGCTCATTTTTATTCTTCTGTTTGATATAGTTAAAACTGAAACTAGCGTGCATGTGCTCATAGCCATGGTTACTGTTTTTGGAACAGGACTTTTTTCTTTGTTTTACTGACCCTGGGGGGGGGAGATTGAAAGGTTTTAAGAAATTTATGAATCTCAGGAGGGAGGGTAAAAATGATTAAACTGAAGAGTATATGCAAGATTGCACATTCCTCATTTTTATCTTTCTGTTTGATATAGTTAAACTGAAACAAGCATGCATGTGCTCATAGCCATGGTTAATGTTTTTGGAACAGGACTTTTTTCTTTCTTTTACTGGGGGGGGGGAGACTGAAAAGTTTTCAGATTTTTAAATTATTTCCAAAGGCACTTTTTTTAACATTTTGTGTGTTACCTTTATTTATTAAATATCATGTTCTTCACACTTAAACTATAAAATTCAGTTCAAGAGCAATATCTCAAAATAATTTTAAAATGAGCATATCTTTAGAATTTTCGATACACAGTCTCGTGTGCTGGAGTAAAAAAATGTTTTCAACACCCTACACTGCACCCTACTTTATCCGTTAATATTCATCTCCACATTCAAAAGAGAGCTACAGGGAAAACTTTCATCAGTATGGAATAATTTCGTAATCTAATTAATGAGGATTTGCATGTGTAGAAATTCACAGCTAATTTTGTTTGCATTTGTATAAATATAACAAAGAAATATAACTCATTTTAAATAATAATATTATGTCTAGAATTTTCCGCTCTGCCCCCGTTTTTTTTGTTTTTCTATTAAAAAAGTTTTTAAAATTAATTATTATAAAATATATAATATATAAATAAATTAAGTGTATTATAATATAAAATAATATAAGTATTATGAAATGTATAAATTGTTTGAATAATTGTTTGAACCTAAAAATGTTTATTTCAATATTATTGTTTTATAAATGGTTTATGATATATTTATTTTTTCCAATTAGAAAAAATGTTTTTATTTCCTAAAAAAGAATTTGTAGAATATTAAAGAATTTGGTATTTATATATATTAATTTTTATTGTCTTTAGAAAATAGAATTTTCATTTATTGATTGTAGAAAATAAGAATTTCTTTTGTTTTTTTTTTTTTTTTTTTTTTTTAAAATTTAAAAATCTTCTTCCAGCAAGTAGCAGCTATGATAATATGGTATTAGAACAGTCATCAACATTTCAATCAAATACAAATTATGAAAGCATGAAGAGGTTTAGAGAAAATTCTCATGTTAATGTATGTTCCAGTTTTTGTTCTTGTGAGAAATGTGATGGGACTCTCTTTTCTGGAATTGACTATTACCACAAAAAAATTTTGGCTACCAAAGGTAAATTCATTTCAGTTGCTAAGATAAATTATTTTTATTTGGTTATAAATTGTTATGATCACCTACATTTTAGTTGTCTGAATGGGCACCATTGTAAAGTCTATTATAATTTTTATTTTCTGTTAAATATATTATTTTAGGTCTCTTTTTCAGAGTAATATAAAAAAAAAGAAATATTTTTATCAAATATTTCTTTGTGGTCTTTTTTATTTTTTTTATAATTAAACGCAGCGTGCTTATGCAAGTAATAAAATATTTAGCCGTAATGGAAGAAAATATTTTTTCTAAACAACTGGTTCATGAAAAGGAGCTCTAAAAATGTCACTGTTCATAATCAGAAGTTATTTTTAGGGTGTTCAATGAAAACTTGGCCACTAATACAAGATCCAGATTTCTTTGTCTGTATTGTATCAGGTGCCTGGTTTTCATTCTTATTTGTTATAGTGAACATATTTCATTCTTATTTGTTATAATTTAGATTTTCTTATTGAATGCAGTATCTGCTGTATTAAGTAGCATTTTTTAATTAACATGTTGTTGGGCGCTTCGCGGCGGTGCATTATGGCGGGAGCGGGCGATTTTTTGAAAAATCCTCGCAAATTTTGTCATTTAACTTGAAAAGTACTTTGAATTTTTTATGAATGTGATTTTCTTAACTTAAAATGTATTCTTCATCGTTATTATGAAAGATAGGCACTTTGTGTATAAATGAATATAGAATATGCAGTTAAAAGTACCCCCCCCCCAAAAAAAAAAAAAAAAAAAAAAAAAAAAAAGGAAAAATTTATAATTTTCGTAATTATTATTTATTACCAAAATTTTTCAATAAACAAATAACTTAATGAAGTAAATAATGAACACTTATAATGTGTTATAGTGTGATAGCGCTCAAAACATTTACCTCTATTAAGAGGTACCCCACAAAATTTATACATAAAACAAGTTTCACTTCGCACTTCAAATTTTTTCTCTCTGGTTCCAACAATTTTTTATAGAATGTTTTTTTTCCTCATATCGATCAACAATCTTCCTGGTGGATCTTGTTTAGGCGCCTTTTTTCTGAAAATGGAGGGTCCTGGCTCTTGAATGTTATCTTTGGTTTGTACCAAATCAGTAACCCAATGCAAAGCTACTTCATATTAAAAATTTCTTATATTTTGTCGCCTTTTGTTTAATTATAGACAACAAAATTGAACAATGCACAATTTATCATGTACATTCTTAATTGTTTTGTCCATTTCATCGTCTTTTGTAGTATTGAATAGTAAGACAAATACTGATCTGCACGGTGGACACCTTTCATAAAAAAGTTATAATCAATCAATGTCAATCAATGCATTTGGTTTAGTTATTTTTTGGCATGTTGTTCTGTCAATATTGTGATTCTCTTTCATTTCCACCAAATGTATAGACGATATAAGGCCCACTTCTTTGATTGCCAGATTTGAAGTAAAATATCCCCTTAACGACGAAAGATTGTCTGTCCTTTTCTGAAATTTGTCTTTTTGAAACACTCCGGTAAACCTCAATTTTTTCCGAGGGTTCCACATACCCACATTTTTTTTCACAAAAGCCCTTGAGTGTTATCAACACTATTATAAGAATTATCAATAAACAGATGGTGGCAGACATGTATATGGAGATACAACTGTCTGTATTGTGTCTATCAGCCGTGACCCCTGACTAGAATAAATTGCAAAATTACAAATGTATCCTGTATCACTGTCACATAGCATTCTCACTAATAACCGTCCTCTCCAAGGTATAATGCCTTCATCCAAGGATACTTGCTGTTTAGGTTTGTATAAGTTCACAAATTTTGGGAGAAAGTAATCATTTATGGGCCTGACTTTGGTCAATCGGCCTGATTAATCGTTGATATTCTCGTTATTGTTGTAATGCCAAGCTTTCCATATTTGCCGAAATCTATCTCTAGACATTGTTTTTGCAAAGAATAGCATTTTTGTGCAAGGATCTGTGGTCTAGTACTCGTCTCTTCTATCTTTTTGAACTTGCCCCATAAAAATAATTAGTCTCCAAAATTTCTTCATTTCCGATTTTCTGATATCCTTCCATTTCACACTTTTTTTTAGGTATTTTGAAATTATTTATATTTTGGTAATACCTGTTCGATTCTTCTACAAAATATGTGAAAAAGTCATCTCCTATAAACAAGTTCAACGCATCGGTTATGGATTCAGGAACAGTATCAACATTTATCCCAGAGCGACCTAAAAGCTTCTCTAAGGTCAGTGAATTATCAGTGGATGATCATTCTTCATCATGGAATAATGTCTTCATCGTCATTCTCCTCCTTACTCTGCCTATCGATATCACTGCCACACGAATAATCTGACAAATTGTCCACACAAATTTCCTGGTCGCTTTCATCGTCACTGTATCTCATTTTACCAGTATTTAGAGTATATGTAAAAAATAACTGTACCATTTCCAAAGATAAAACAACTATTGAAAGACTTCAATAACAAATTCGACTCGAGATAATTATAAAAAATACAAATTATCACTAGAAAACTCTCAATTTTTGAAAATAATATAGGTTTGCAATGTGGAAAATACCATTCTTCCTAAGGAGACGTCTAAACACCGAAAGCTACCCGAATTCACTATAAATAAAATGGCTCATAATTCTTAAATTTGCAGGTATAATGAGTTGTGATGAGCTCATTTATCCTATTATTTATGACCTTACTGTCCCATACCTAATCTATTGTGGGAATGTTTATATCTGCATAGTACTATGTATAAGTAACGAACTTACGCACATGTAGTAACTCGTATTAGCTATGTGTCCCACGTTCTACGACCAGTCCATAAAAAACTTATTACTACGTGATCGCCCTCTATGCACAGTTGGCGAAAAATGTAATTTTACGTGTCCTGACTACAATGTGTTAAAAAGATCCTTCTGCATCAAATTATTAACAAACATTAGGTGGCAGTTATGAAAAAGTTTTCACTTCTGATGTTGAGAAACCTTTGTTTGCATGAAGTTCTTTTACATTTGGTTTACATGAATGAGATTCCTATTTGAATTCATCCTCAGCATTGAACAAAGAAATGTTTAAAAAAAAACTCTACGTTCTTCATTGTTTAGAAGATCACAGAATCTTCAGGCAGGAGTGGCAAAGTAAGGAAAGGCAGCCAGTATGCCTTTCCTCACTTCAAAAGGTGGCAAAGGCAGGATGGGCAAAAGGCAGTTCCCAGGATGAATCTAGTCCATTAAGAATGATTTCCTGTGTGACATTTTCATCTCTGTCCTACCCAGTTTTGTATGCAAAGTGAGCAGCATGAATGCACACACAAAGTCATACTAGTGAAATAAGCCTAAGATTTCTTTAGTAGTACTGCTTTACATCTTCACGCTCTTCCCATTTTTTACATTCTTGAACTTACTATGTGGTTAATTTAAAAATAAAAAGTTGGGGGGAAGCCATTTTCTATTTTAACTATTGATACAACTGTTGACAGACAGCAATAGATTGTCAGTTTCCACATGTAGCAGTGATGAAAGGTGATAGTCAGGAAAGTGGGCACATACATTCTTGTGTTGAATGTGTAACCTGACATCTTGAAAGGTAGTGTTTAGCTTGGCTTTTGAATTATAAAATAATAAGGGGACAAGGTCTGAGTTTTTTTTTTTTTTTTTTTTTTTTTGTGGGGGAGTGAGATTTGTGAAATCTTAAGAAAATTTCCTAAAATTTCATGAAAATAATCACAGATTTCATGCTAGTTAATTATGTTTTGGCTGTGCATATTCAGCATATTTTCAGTTTGTTTTCACTTTTTTGTCATTGATACTTTCAAATGGAAGAGATTCAGTTATAATTATATCCAAATTTTAGGTAGCTGTGGTCCCCAAGTCTTTACTAAAGTGTATTTTGTGATAAAAAGTATAAAAACAGAAAATACTGCTGCAGGGCTTGAATTTTATAAATAAGCAAAAGATGTTAATTTTGACCCCATAAAAAGTCAAATTGCATTGTATTTTTTGTTTTGGATACCAAACACATACTTATGCAAAGACTTTCCAAAAAATAGCCTTGCATAGCAATGAAAATTAATTGTCCAGAGATTTCAGATAAATGAGATATAGTGCAGAAATTAATGTAGAATTGGAATAATGATAAAATTGTGTTATTTACATTTCCTTTACAACTTGGAAAATTCTTTAGTTTGTAGAGGAGGGTCAGTGACACTTAGCCGACACAGACACTTAGTTGACAGGACATTAGCCGACATGGACAGTTAGCCGACAAGGACATTTAGTCGACAGGACATTTAGCCGACACGGACACTTAACCGACAGGACATTTAGCCGACCCAGACGTTAGCCGACAAAACGTTTGGCAGACACAGAGAGTTAGCTGTTAGGACATATAGAGCTACGGGACACTTATCTGTCAAGACATTTAGGCAACAGGTACTAAGCCGACAGTGACGTTTAACTGACACGTACCCAAAAATTATTTAAACTATCAATTACAAAATTTCTCGACTACCCCATAAGTTCAATATATAAGTCATTTTTTTACCTATCAGTAAAATTCATTTTTCGATTCTTAAATATCTCATATGTGCTATTAATTATTGTGTTAATTTAGCATTGTTTGATATGTATCGTGCTGTTTGGTGTACATTGGCCAAATTGAAAAAGCGCTGAAATTTCTAGAAAATGAATAAAACAAAACCTTAAAAATATTTTACTTCTAAATTAAACATTATGCACTAGTTTAGGGCTATAAACATTAACCTAAGTAAGTATTTTAAGCAAGAGGCGTGGTCAATAAAATGTTACGGAATTTTTATCTCAAGAATGGTGGCATGAACTGCAAATTATAGAGGTCACAAATAATTTATACCTCTGCTTGTCTTAAAAATTCACTTTTTTTAATTGTTTTTAATAACAAAATAAAAGATATTTGCTAAACTAACGCTCACTACTATATGTTTCTATAAAAATTATAATTCAAGAATAA